GCAGGCGCGCGGCTAGGTCGCCACGCTCGCGCTCCGACTCCAGCAGGCGCGCCTCCAGGCCCGCGATGCGCGCGCGCCAATCGTCGGTGTCTTCCGCGGCGCGCGCGGCGGCCAGCTCCGCCGCCAGGCGCGCGCGGTCGGCCTCCAGCTCGCGCCGCGCCTCGGCCCACGCCTGCTCGTCGCGCTTGTACCGCACCTCGCGCTCCGCCCAGGCCGAGGGCGGGCGGAAGGTCTTGCCGAACATGGTCTCGCTCAGGCTGGCCACCTCGCGTCGCAGGTCCTCGTTCTGCAGTGCCAGCTCCGCCAGGCGGATGGAGGTGGTGCGCTCCAGCGCCGCGGATGCCGCGGGGCTGGTGGGCGCCGGCCCGGGGCTAGCGCGCGGGCTGGCGCGCGGGCTGGCGCCGAGGGCAAAGCCTGCGGCGGGGTAGATCGGGGCGTGGCCCGGCGAGCCAAGGCCGCGCGGGCCACGCCGCGGCGACGGCGGCGGCAGCGTCGGCGCGCACGCCGCCGAGGCCGCCGCGTCGCTGTTGGGCCTCGCACCTGCGCTCGCGCCCAGGAGGGCGGCGCCCGTCCCGGCGGCCACGCCCGCGCCGGCAGCCACGCCCACCGCCGCACTCGCGGCAGCGTCCTGGGCCCGGCGCTCGGCCTCCTGGGCCCGACGCTCGGCCTCCTGCGCCCGACGCTCGGCCGCCGCCAGCCGCCGCTCCAGGTCGGCACGCTCCGCTTCCAGGTCGCCAACCCGGGCGCGGAGGGCCTCGGCCTCGCGCTTGGCGCGCTCAACCTCCTCGCCCCGCCCTGGCGCCAGCTCCCGGTCGAAGTCGTCGGCCAGGGAGGCCAGGCGGTTGGTCTCTGCCACGGCCCGCCCCACGCGGTCCTCAAGTGCGCGCTCCGCCAGCTGCTCTGCCAGGGCGTCGTGCGCCTCCTTCAGCTTCTGCGCCTCCTGCGGCGCAGCGGCGTGGGGAGGTGGTGGTGGGTTGTGGGGTAATTGCAGGGAGGCAGGGGCCAGTCTGGGCGTTTGGGGCCCCGGGCACATCGCCGCCGGCTGATGGGTCTGCGCGAATCGGGCGGTTCCCGCATCCCACACTGGCGTCCGCAGTGCTATGCACATGTTCGGCAAGCAGATGCACACACACAGTCAAACGCCCACGATTGTAGGGAGGTGGTTGCAGCCCCACTGCACTCGCTGCTCATGGCTCAGATGCGCAACCACCCCAGAGGTGTTCGCCCCCACGCCCGCACTGCAGCCCACACCCTCCCACCCCAACACACACGCACCCTGATGGCCGTTTCGGCATAGGAGCGCAGCTCCAGGTTCTCAGCCCGCAGGTCCCCGATGAGGGACTGCACGGTGGCGAAGTCGTCGTAGCCCAGCGAGGTTTTCAGCCCGTCCAGGGCGTGCACCAGGCCCTCCAGCGAGGCGGACACCACCTCCCCGCCCGCAGCGGTGGCTGATGTGGGGGTGGACACGCCACCGGACACGCTCGGCATGTCGATCTGGGGTACACGGGGCAGGTCGCCGTCGTGGCCTGAGCGGGGCTGGCGGGGCGGAGCAGCCAGCTCGAGCTCCAAATGCAGTGCCAATCACCTGGTCGCGACGAGGTAAGCCCCGCGTGAGCACTCCTTGCACGAGCTCTGATCAGTTCAAGTATGTGAGAATAGGGCGCGAGGGCAGGAGGGAATGCATTCACTCCCGGAGCTGGCCAGATCGGTACACAGGTGGTTGCTAAAGGTCGAGCAGCAGTCCGGTATCCTATACCACTGCTGAATAGCTATTTCTTATTCCCTGCACGCGTGTGTATCCCTGTCGTGCGTGACTCGTCTTGTCAACTTGGCACGACATCCATGCTCAACTACCATTCTTCCGAACCACCTCACCGGCTGCGTAACGGGGTCACCTGGGCATCTACTCCCTTGGATTTGCAAGGGCGGGATCTGGCCTCCTCCAATTGTTGACACTGCCAACGTGGCCCAAGGCTTGGACAACTGTGATGTACAGACGAGAATGAGGTTCGGAGGATGGTGCCACGTCCAGGTGTATAGTATTGGTTTCATGCAGTGAGGTGTTTTTGGAATGCTCCCATAAGATACCTCCTCCCTCTACCTTTCTTCAGACACCATCTTAACAATAGGGAGGGGAAAATGTGCACGAGCTTGAAAGATGATAATGGATATGGGGTCGATCCATGGGGTTCCACGGATGTTATTCGCAGTCAGGAATAAGAGGTGGGGCCACGTTACTCGCAGAGGATTCAGTAGCCGTGCCGGACGATAGAGCATCAGGGTTGAGGGACCCTCAAACAGTCTTCTCACAACAGCCAGACTCCCGGCACGACGGAGCGCGCCAAGGAAGCAGATGCAGTTCATGCTGACCACAGGGAGGGTTATGACTGCGGCATCGAGTGCGGAGGACGCAGCTGGGCCTGAGATTGTACATCATTATAAGACTTGGAGAGTTCCATCCGCACCAGTGCAGCCACGAGGCGCACAAAGGTGGGGATGTCGTTCTGGCAGAGCTCTGCGAGCACCTGTGGGAGGTTGCGAGGGCATGGCGATGGTGAGCTTGTTGATCGCGGCGAGGTGTGTTCCGTCGCAACAAGGCCTGGACCTGCTTACAGCCTATGAATCCAGATAAAGCTCATTCTTACAGAGAGTCTGCATGCGCACCCACATTCAGCCCGCCCCGGCCCATCCAGAGCTCTTCCTGCACCTCGTCCCATGCACAGCACCTCACCTTTGGGTGCTCACGAAAGCCCACGAGGCGTGCGGCCTTGAGCGCTTTCTTGTCCGCAAAAGGATAGATCTCGTCCCAGACAAGCTGCGTGTGCACAGGGACACAAGATTTGAGGCAGAACTGACTCCTACTCCTCCATGCGCTGGACGAGAACCGGTAGGAAGAAACTCGGAGCAATCCCTCCCTCACAATCAGCCCACCTGTGCTTCGCGGAAGAAGATGTCAACGCCGCCGTCCCCTATCCCTTTAAACTTCTTCAGCAACAGGCGCTCCTGCAGAGAGTGGGGACACATGAGCTGCGTGATGTGTGCGCCCTCGAGCTCCATGCTGCTGATACCTGCATCGCTGGGGTCAAGCCGCCCAACACGCAAGGCCCGCCCCGCCTACCTGGGCAGGGTCGCGGCCGGCCGCATCTCGAAGCTTCCCAAAGTCACCCTTGTAGTGCGTGAGCAGGAGGTGTGCATCATCCACCAGAAAGCCAGCGGTCTTGTCATCTGCATGGTTAGGACAGGGAGCACATCATGCTGCCGCACGACTGCAGACGACATGGCTTGGGGCCAAGCATTGCATTTAATGCCTCTGTTCTGCAACCCCATTCCCTTTCCCTCTCCACCCCCCCCACTACCCCTTACCTACCCCCCCCCCCCCCTCCACCCATATCTGTCGTAGCCGCTGTCACGCAGCAGCTGCCTGCACTCCTGCTTGCTGATGAGGCTCATGTCCTCTGGGCTCTCCAGCCCGGCAGAGATGAGCGCCTTGCATGCCTGGGCGCCTGCCATTTGAGAGAGGCAAGGGGGCAGGGTGACGGTGCTACAGAAGGTCTGGCAATGTGGGCGTCCCTGCTGAAAGATGCTTACATGAAGAGTAATTTTGCTGGTCATCCATTCCACTGGTTGGCCCAGGAAGATATAAATCCAACACATGTTACCTGCTTGGGACTTGATGCGGGCACTGAACAGGACAGTAGCGCAGAACCATTGCCACAGAGCGTTCTTGCCACCCTGCTGCATGTCGATCTGCAGGAGGAGTGCATCGTTGATTTGGCACGAGGAGAAGGGACAGGGTGACAATTGCAGCTGACTGCATGCTACCCATGAGGTACACCACTTGCCCCTAGCTCGTCGCAGAAGCTGCTGCCATGCTTCTGCAGGATGTGGATGACTTTTTGCTGGGACTGATGGCTCACGGCCTGTGCACTGGGACCCGCCCCATCAGGCTGCCTTGCGCCAAGAGGCTCCTGCGGCAGGGGGGCTGCAGATGCGGAGGGTGATGCCCCTGATCCACCGCCCGGTCCCTGAGCTCGTCCTCGTCTGGAAAGCCGCAGCTTTTTCAGAATGGGGAAAGCAGGGTCGATGGGGGTGCCCGCCGCTTCTTCGCCAGACAGAGCGCTGTGAGTGGGCGGGGAGTGGAGGGGAGTGGAGGGAAGGGAGGAGGGAGTAGGTGATGGGGACACCGTGGACCACGTCCGAAGCAGTCGTTCACGCCGTATCAGATCACGCGTATCTCCCGGCCAACCTCAGAAACGGGATCATAGCCGCGGATGCTTCCAGGATGGACAGTGAACTCGTGAGAATACCGACTACTATCCAATTTCGGAAGTTAGATGCATCCAAAACTCGCCCGGCGGACAAAGAAATGCAGGGGAGCTGGACTTCCCGCCTGGGGTTATTCTCGGCCGCGAGCAGGTGCGATGGTCGAATACAACCAAGTTGTGAGTCTCAAATATCACTAGGTATGCACGCGCTGCGTGCGGTACAGCCTGATCTGAGCCGTTCCGACTTCGCTGTTGCTTGGCATGGTGTGAGGGGGTCAGCACCAGCATGGCAGGAGCCTGGTAGCTGGCCGTCCCCCCGAAAATCTTCGTACGACCATGGGGCCGCGGCCCCCAGACATGATCGACCAGGCAGCATTCATTTATGTCGACTTTTTCCTTGATAGTCTACATGCATACCGCATAGCTTCTGCTTCGTTTTGAGCTCTGAAGAGCCCGATCGTTCGATGGCACTAGGGCGGATTCCTGCACAAGCCACATGCCCCATTCCCCTGAAACATGCTCAATGCTTAGGGGCTCATGCTCCTCATCTTCCATGTCTGGTACATGTATCACTCTGATCAACATGTCTTGTCGTTGACGTCCATGAACCATTCATCAGCCGCAAAGAGGCAAATCGAGTTATGAGAAGGGTCGTTCGCAGAATGCACAGCTCTTTTGCAGAATGTGCGGCTCTTTTGCAGAATGCGCGTTTGTCACTGCAAACAATAGAGATCAAAAGATGATCTAAAGCGGAGCATACAAGCACAATTGAGATGTAACGGTCGACTTGCGTCCGAAAAAGGGCCATGTGTGGATCGGTGGATGGTCCCGGGTCAAACGATTGGCCTTGCTTGTCGCAATACGCCACACGCGACGATGCCGTCCCTCCCCTCCAAGCGGACCAATGGAAACCGCAACGGGATGTTGCTACCGTGCCTTATGACACGAGGAGCTACACACGACATGCACTCACACCCAGCCCCCGGAAGGTACAGCTGATGTCCGAAAGGCCGCTTCCCCTACGCACCACCTGACAGTGAACCCATCCCCAGCATCCGTCCCCGCTTTTCCTTCTACAGTGAGACTCTAGCCATGCATCCCCACGAGCCGGCGACTGTGGGGCATTGCATCCCCATGCACCATCCCAGCCCTTCATCCACGGGGGCTGGCTCCCCATACTCGGGCGTCTTGCTTCGAAGGTAGCGCGACGGTCCGGGCTGCACGTGCATGCAGCCTGATCGTTGCACCGTAGCCTGTCTGCCATCCTGATGTACCCTATGTCTAACTTAACCGCGCAACGGGTGCCGACAGGCCTTGTGCCTATGGCTGAGATACATACCGTTACCACCCGGACCAGTTAGCACTGCGTCGGGGATGCGCGTCCCCCTACCACCCATCTCTCCACAGTTCCCTTCATGGGGAGGGCCAGGGTGACAGACTGGAGGGGGGTCCCTTTGGCACCCCCTCCCAGCCCTCGTCTCCCGGCCCCCCTGGGACCAACATCGCGTGTCCCCGCACCATGCACCGCAGTTCCTCCCCCATGGCACTGCAGTTTGTTGATCAGGGCCAGCTGTTCCCCCTGGCCTTGCCTGTGCCGCAGCTATCGTGGCAAGGTAGTCTTGATCGCCAGGGAACTGGGGTGGGCCAGCAACGGGCTTTCCGTGGGATCTCCCACCACCACGACTGCAAGACTGTTTCTCAAGTTATGGGATCCTGAGGCGCGGCATACCCCCCAATGTCACCTTAATCTAGGATCAGAGGCGCAAAGCAGCGACGTGACAGGCAGCAGCGGGCTCTCGCCCTGTGGCAGCTTTCTGGACGGCCTTGAGGACCTGTGGAGAGACGATGGTGATCTTTGCAGCCTGCTTGACACCAGCGGCTGCCTCCAGTCCGCCTCCACAAGTGCAACCAGCCACGCAGGGCACAGCAAGCCAGGTGAGGCAGAGGCGGATGAGCTTTTAAAGGGCCGTGGGGATCTTGGATGATGAGCTTGTGGTAGCTTGGAGGCCCGTTCCGGCTCTGAGGCCCTCGCGCGGCACCCTCTCTTGGCTGGGCCAGTTGCAGACTCCACACTCCTCCATGTTGCTCCAGAAAACCCACGCTGTGCGGCAGCCGCCGGGAAGCGGCGGGGTCGAGGTGCGAAGCGGAGGTACTGCTTCGCCTCCGAAGCGGAGGCTCGGGACGCCCGGCGACAGCGAAACCGGGAGACAGCCCTCCTGTCCTACAGGAAGTGAGTGGATTGGATGACCTTTCGCCAGTTCCAGCTGGGGTCCAGGATGCTGGGCCTCGTGGTATTGATGGCCACAGTGCGTGAGGGCGAGGGAAATCGAGTATCAATTGGACCCCCAGCATGTGAGCATACATGTGTTCAGCAGCTGGTCATCTGCCTCTGCATGCACCCGTCCTCGAGCGCTGGCAGCCCAGCTGGGCCTGGCTTTCCACATTCAAGCGCTGTGCCTCCCCATGTGCAGGCAGCAGCAGCGAGTGCATGGCCTGGAGGCGGAGGCTGCGGCCCTGGAAAGGCAGAATGCCGCGATGACGATGCTCCTGTCGGGCATCCTGTCGACGGGGGCCTGCCCACCGGCGGCGGCCAGCCAGGATGCGCTGGAGGTCTGGCTGGCGACACAGCTGCCTGGCGGCTGTTGACCCCTGCAGATATTCCTCCACCACGGAGGACTATTGCATTGTATCGCATGGGTGCACATTCTAGGCCATGTTGATAGACGTCCCAGAGGTGTTCCTCTCCCAATACTTGTTGCTCGCCACACTGTGAGCATGTGTGTAACGCTAGCGGTGTCCACACTGCCGACCACAGGAACGGAGCAGGGGCCAGCATGGCATCATCAAAGAACGTATCCACCGCGATTGCGACTCAAAGCACAGCCTGCAAAGGAGACTATTGCCTACTATGGGCAGCATGGGGATGGTCTATAGTCGTGCACCCAGATTTGGACCTGGTTCCTGCCACTGCAGAAACTGTGGAAAGCATGGTGGCAAAGTACGAAAACGGCTGTCAGTACCGACATAAGCTCATCACGCCGTTTCCACCGTCTCCGCCTGATCCAGGCCCAGCTCTGCGTTGGCCTGCTTCCGCATGAGGTACTTCTGCGGTTTCCCGCTCACTGTCGAGGGTGAGAAAGAAATGGGTGACATGCGTAGCGGCAGGCGGAAGGCACGGGCCTGGCAGGGCTGCCACTGATCGGGGTCCTCCCGACCAGCAAGCGATGCACCGCTCACGTGTCTGGGGGAAGGAGTGCACAAACTTGATGTAGCGGGGAACCTTGTGGCGGCTGACTCGCGCGGCAGCCCAGGCCCTTATGTCGTCCTCGCTCACAGAGGCATGGTCCCTGCGGCCCAAGCAGTGGAGAGGAGGGGTGCAAGGCGTTCTTGAGTGGCATGGCAGCGGTCAAACGTGAGGCAATCCCGGTCAAGGTCATCCATGAGGTGCTGAAACTCGACAGCTCTCCACTCCGAGGCGGCAGCAGCTCCAGCACACCGCACCGAAACTCACAGCCCGGCGCACCATGTTCTGACCCATGCACAGAGCTCCTCCCCGTATCTGGCGTCTGCCACCCCAAAGACCTGATGCCAGAAGATGGGGGGCGGTCCTGGTTGGGTTGGGACTGCTGCGAGGCAGAAGATCATGGTGATGAGGCACCCCATCCAAGACCCTCCCCTTGACCCTGCGCACATTGACTTCTGCAATGGCCGGATGGGAGTGCAGCAGCTCTTCTATCTCGCGGGGGTAAAGGTTCTCGCCCCCTCGGATGACCATGTCCTTCATCCTGTCAGGTGACGGGTACAGGAAGGGATCTCTTTCGCCCGACGGGAGTCCTTCTCAGGGGAGCAGATTTGAGTACATGGTGCTCCATGCCCCAAAGGTACCAGACAGCAGACCCCTCCACGCCTGCCATGCGTACTATAGCGAACAAAAGCAGGAGTCCTGGCCCCATTTTCCCCGACACTGGCACCCAGGGGCACTGGGGCCATCAGCACACCTGCCCACGATGTTGCAGTACCCCTCGGCGTCCAGCGTCACCAGATCCCCAGAGTGCATCCAGCCCTCTGCATCCACAGCCGCCGCAGTGGCCTCCGGGTCATCGTAGTACCCCTGCATCACCGAATAGCCTGCGTGCGGAGCAGAATTGTCGTGTCTGCAAGGACCGAAGCATGCCACGTATGAGCAGGCACTTCCTGCTAGCTTGGCACCTCTCAAGAGTCTATACTTCGTGTCATTTCTGATAAACCAGCCATCCTGCCGTCCATCCCAAACAAACTCCGCAGCAAAAGCGAGTTCGCCCCACCTCTGACGCAGAGTTCCCCGACTTCCCCAGGGGCAAGGATGCCCTGCGTCACAGGGTCGATCACCTTGGCCTCCAAGTGGGGGTGGATGTGGCCCACCGTGGAGACCCGCCGCTCAATTGGATCTGGTCGGTGGGGGGGCAAGAGCGCTTGGTCCCCACGTAAGCCATCCTAGGAGATAAAGTCCCTGCCGACCTGCCACACAGAGCTACTATGCCTGAGAAGACCATGGAACGGCCTCACCCCGGCTCACCCTGGATGCTCGTCTGGAAGGACACTGGGGATGTCTCTGTCATGCCGTAACAGATGGTGACCTCCTGTGATGAGGAAGGTGAGAAGGTGATTGGCTGGACAGAATACAAGTATCAGCGTACTAATTCCAGGATGGTAAACCCCACCCAGGTCCCCATACAAAAATGGCGTCGGTCATGCTCACACTCATGTGCATCTTGGACTGGACGCGCCGCATGACCTCCACGGGGCAGGGGCTGCCTGCCATGATGCCGGTGCGCAGGCTATCCAGGCGATACTCGCCAAAGCTGTGTGGATGGCGGGCTGGGGTCAATTTTCAGGAAAAGGGTACACTGTGGGGCCACCTGGATGCACCCAGAAAAAGGCAGACGCCTGCTTCGCGGCAGCATGGCCTCTGCCTGACTGATTGCATTCGCCCCTCACGACTGACATAGAAGGCACATGAGCTCAAATATTCCACCAAAAGAATGAGACCCCATTGCCTGACCCCTCAAGAATCTTCCTGCTCACTTGTCAAGCTCCAGCTCCCTGATGAACATGGTGGGGACGCCCAGGAGAGACGTGCAGCGCTCTGCCTGCACTGCCGCAAGGGTCCTGGCCGGATCAAAGGACGCTGCGGCATCAGGGGAAAATGGAAAGGGGGAAAAGTGGGCGCGGCCGGCAGTGCCTGCCAAGTTTCTTGGAGCTGTGGCACGAGCGTGCGGTCCCGTCCCCCCCCCCCCCCAAAAAAAAAAAGCCATGCGACCCACCTCCAGGAAAGACGATGGTCCCTCCTGTAGCCAGGGTCGCGAGGTTCCCCAGCACGGCCCCGAAGCAGTGGAACAGGGGGACGGGAATGCAGACGCGGTCGGCGGGGCCCAGTCTGCAGCCCCGCCCTATCATGTAGCCGTTGTTCAGCACGCTGTGCTGCGACAGGAGGGCGGGCTTGGGCCGCCCCGTCGTACCGCTGGTGTATTGGATGTTGTAAGGGGTGTGCAGGTCCATGCCAGCAGCCCGCGCCCGTGCCGCCTCCCGGGCGCCCGCCATGCCAGACCGCTCCAGGAACTCGTGCCAGCTGAGCAGGCCTGGGCCAGGGTTCAGGTGGGGCCATGTTAGGGGGGAGCCAGCTGAAGGTATTGATGGACACAGCCCACCGGTGCCCCAACCAAACAGCAAGAGAGCCATGGTAATCCAGGTCACAGGCACTTGGCATCGATGGCTGACCCATCGATGCCCCTTCAGGCCCTCTGCTTGCCTGGTGCACTCTCGCCACTTCCCAGCAGGACCACATGCCGCAGGGTGGGCACCTCTGCCCTGATGCTCTGTGCAGGAGTGGCTTGCGGGGCTGACTGGCGCTGCGTGCCGCACGGTCTGCCTGCAAGACCCTGTGCGCCCTCTTGTCTCGGTCCTGTGCCCGGCTCTCGGACACCCTGCAAGGCGATCCTCTCAACCCAGCTTGTGCGCTCCCAGGCTGCAATTCACCTGGAGCATGCCGACGTAGTCTGAGGCTCTCCAGCCAGGTGACATAATGAGGTGAGTCATGCCACAGCGTGCCACAGCATACTCCAGCTCAGTGGTCTGGTACGCTGGGTTCATGCTCACCAGCACGGCCCCAACCTGATGGGTTGGGAGGGCGACTCGGTGAGGCCACAGATCCACACAGCTGGCTGGGATGCGGCAGCGTCCAGGCCGCATCAGAGGAACAACGGCAATGTGCTGCTCCTGCTTGCCCACCCAGCGATTCACCCCTTCCGCTTCCCTAATGTGCACCCCCAGGGCAGCAGGCATGCCTGCCGTGGTCTTCCCTCACCTTGGCGGTGGCAAACTGCATGATCACCCATTCCTGGCAGCTGGTTGCCCAGACCCCAACCCTGTCTCCTTGCTCCACCCCAAGAGACACCAGGGCTGCGGCTGCCGTGCACGCTTCTTGCTGCAGCCCGGCATATGACAGGCGGCTGCCCTGGTGCAGGCTGACGACAGCCTCCACATCCGGCTGACGCCGTGCGAGATCGTCGAGGAGGCCCCCCAGACTGGTCTGGAGGAGGGCGGGACTCGTACAGCCCTTGACGTGGCTCTGGGTCAAGGTCAAAGTGGTTGCACCTGTTGCATTTGGATTCACACCAGGGTTGCTCAGACTCGTAGATAATGAGCCGATGCGATGACTCTGGCAAAGAAGAGGAATGGAAATGATACCTCGGAAGATGTACTAGCTCGTGGAACTGAAACAAGTACCTTGCGTAGGTGTCGCCTGGGCCGCGCTTGACGCAGCTCGCCTGGAGTTCGTACAGACAATCGTCAAGGCCTCCCTCCGTCGAACCAGAGCCCACGCAGCCCTCATCCTGACGCATGCGCACCTAAGGAGACTACTCAATCATCGGAAGTTGGGTGGAGACCTTGGCTCGCAGTGCCACCCTTCAAGAGCACTCGGTGTGTCGGAAAGACTTCCGAGATAGGCTGACGTGGCTTTCTAATGCATGGACATCTGCAATCGGTTCCCCTCCAGGAGGGTCAACATCTAACCACAAACGTGCCTCCAGTGATATCCAGGGCGGTTCTGACGCTGGGTCTGTTGCAGAGTATACCGCACGAGGACACATGCTCAAAAGCCAGGGGTTGTATCAACAGACTCATGTACTGGCATGCAACCCAGGTCACCGATGATGAGTGCTGAGACCTGCGTCCCTGCCACCAGCACGCCTTTCCTCTGCATGAAAAGGGGAAAATGTACTGAGTTCGCGAGTCTTGCAGAAAGGCAAGCATGCCAAGTTCAACGCCCCATGCTGTGGGCTTGCCGCCAAGCCCTTGCGGCACCTCTGTCTTTCAGGGGCATCATGCACTGAGCTCATTGTACCCCGGACTATGACTCACCCTGGGGATCTCCAGGAGCAGGTTGGCGGCCCGGAGACTGAGCAGGCGGCTGCTGATCTGTCCTCCCGTGGATTGTGCCACGAGTTCCCACCCATCGCCCCCCGCCATCCTTCTCCAAGACCCGATGGCGCGGTGGTACTCTGGCCTGGCGGGGTCCTGCTTTATGTCAAAGGAGAGCCTGGCATGCACTCGCCGCAGGCCTGGGTCCTGCAGGGAGGGGCGTCGAGGCTGTTGGCACGGACACATGGGACAGTGTGGGTGCAGAAGGGGATGCTTCCTAATGAGTGCTAACACCTGCGACCCAGAAAGCACACCATTGTCTTGGAGGGCTTGTTTCAGGGCTTGGGCAGCGTCTAGCACACTCCAAGTGTGAGCAGCTTAGAAGTCAGCGACCCCTTTGCTCCAACATCAGCCACCCTCTCCCAAGACTACACGTACCCCCCAGCCCTGCAGCCGTCTCAGGCAGGGAAGCACCACCAGGTTGAAAGTGACCAGGCCGCTAACTGGGTTCCCAGGCAGGCCGAAGACAAGTAGGGGGGCCCTGGGAAGCATACAGGATGATGCTCAGGAGCGATGTCCATCCTGAGGATGTCGTCTTCCATGCCATAGGCCAACGCCCCCAAGACAGACCTCGGGGGCGGCGGCCAGCATTGCAGGCACTGCGGCAAACCACAACATCTTGCCCAGGCACCAGCGAGCCTGGCCCCACCCCACCAGACCCATCTCCCCATACCTGCCCTCCCGCGGCACCTCCGCAAAGGTGAGCGGCTTGCCAGGCTTCATGCACACCTTGCCAAAGTGCACTGTGCCCTGCGCTTCCAAGAGGGGCTTGATGTAGTCACGCTGGCCCATGGACACCCCACCTGAGAGGAGCGCGGGAATGTGGGTGCATGAGAGGCCCATGCTGTGAGGAGCTGAAGCACACTGTGGGCCACGCTCCACATGCCATCAGCTGGGCTGCCTGCACCACTCACATCTCAACCTTGCTTGATACCCTCTTGCCACGCCAGTATGACCCTCAGCCCCATGTCACCCCCCATCCCTCCCTTCCCGGGGTCTGTAAACACCCACCCACACCAGTCCCCCATCGTGTACCAACCCCTTTTCCTCCAGCTCCCGTGGTCTCAAGGTGCAACCCACCCGTGATCAGCATGACGTCAGCGCCCCCATCCAGCGCCCTGCGGAATGCCGCCGTGCTTTCTTCCTCGGTGTCTCCTGCGATGCCCAGATCCTGCGTCAGCGCCCCCGCCTCGCTGACCGCCGCCATGAGCATGGCCCTGTTGGTGTCCCTGACCTGGCCCGGCCCAAGTGCAACGGCCGCCGGATCCTTGACTTCGTCACCAGTGGAAAGCACGGCCACGCGTGGCCGGGGATAGGCCTGTGGTCGAGAGTGCTAGGTAGTGTCTTCATTTTTGCTCCCCTGGCAGCGCGGGGGCAGAGCCTGCCAGGCGGCTGTGCACCTCAATGGACAGGCAGCTTCCAGCATGCCTGCATGCAGCAATGAGGCCCCAGTCCCACCTTCACGGTGACGGCCCCGGAGCCGGCTAGGATCCCGATCTCCGCGGGCAGCAGGTGATGCCCTGCCGGCAGGATGACCTCGCCCTGAGCGACATCACTCCCGATCTGGTGGTGGTAAGGGGTGGCGGCACCACATCTACTCAATAAGACAAACATGTGGCGGGCTACGCATGCGCGCATGCCATGCCCTGACTATCCGCCCCTGGAGCCCCTGTACTACCAAGGACCAATGCCTGCCTACCTGCCTCACATCATACCCCGGGCCGGGCACCTCCACGAGGATCTTGACCAGTCGCTGGCCACGATCGTCCGCTCCCTGATCCAGGGTATCCTCGATTTGGACCACGGCATCCGCCCCCTCGGGCAGCGGCCCGCCCGTACCGATGTAGGCCACGGTGCCGGGGGGGAGGGTCTCCGGCTCGGCCCCTGCAAACGCCTCAAAAGCCACGGGGTAAACGCCAGGCCCATCGACAGCCCTGACGGCATACCCGTCCTGCGATGAAGAAGTGTGGTGGACATTTGGAACACCAAAACCCAAGTCACAGACATCGGCAGGGGCGGGAGCGGGCTCCAGACTGGTCCCCTCCAGGCACCTTAATGCTGGCCCTGTACGCGGGGATCGGATCTCTGGCCAGCACATCTTCCGCCAGGGTCAGTCCTAGTGCATCGATGTAGCTGAAATCCTGGGGAGGGAGCGGCCTCGTCGCGCCCAGCGCCGTCTCGACGGCCTCCGCCACCGACACCATGGAATAGTTTGCGGCAGGTGTTCGCACCGGCTCCATGGTGGGCAGAGCAAGCTGAAGTACGTGAGATTCTCGATCCGATTCGGGTGGACAGCTATGGAGTGCACCATCGCTTAGCATGATGGTGCTGGAGGAGTCCCGGGGAGTGATCTGGCGCGCGCGCAACCGCGCACGTGCCTGCCCGGCACCCCCACCCTCCTCTCTCTCTCTGGGCATGGCCTTCCGGTACAGGGCAGGTCCATGCCCGCTTCAGATAGCAACTTTGCGGCACACAGGCGGGTCTGGAAGGCCTGGGACTCACCGCCCCCGCGCCAGGGCCGGCGGCGGCGTGTTGAGGAGGTCGTGCAGGGGGGTGCGGGGCGCGCGCCGCCGCCCCTCCTCGTCCTTCCCCGGCCCGGTGAGGGGCGTCCCCGCCCTCTGCCCCGTGCCGGGCGTCCCGCCCTCCGCCCTGCCCTGGCTGGGCGTTGCGCGTGCGCTCGGGGTGGAGGCCCCCAGCTCGACGCGCGCCGCGCGCGCGGCAAAGGCCAGGGATGACAGCGACTCCGGGGCGGAGGCTGGGTCCGGGTCCAGGCAGCACACCAGGAGCACCTTGCTAGAGCCGCAGAGCGAGTCCTGCAGCACCTGGGTCAGGCGCGAGTTGCGGAAGGGCACGTGCGGCGCGCGTGTCGCCAGCGCCGCCATCACGTCCCCCAGCGCCGACAGCGACTTGTTGATGGCCTGCGCCTCCCGCAGCTGCTGGCCCGTCACCTCGGAGCGCGCGACGCGCTCGGAACCTGCAAGGCGTTTGTGTTTGTGGGTGTGTGCGTCGGGGTGGGGTGAATGGAGGAAGAGGCGGGGGCTTCGAGGGCCGGCGGCGATGCACCTGCAGCTTGCCGGTCAGCGCGCCGATCCAGGCACCCCGAATGGGAGCCCCACCCCAGGGGGCCCTTATCAAGCGACGCAAACCTCTCGTTCACCTTGTCCAAGTCCACATCCCCGCCCACCCCCGCCCCTCCCTTCCTCCTCATCCTCCCCCCCCCCGTCAAACACCTGCTAGGTCCACCAGGTGCAGCACGCTGGCGCCGGCGAGACCGTCCGGGTCACTGGCCCGGATGGAAAGCACGGCGTGGGAGCGGGAGGAGGCGGCGTTGAGCGCGGTGCCGGCGGTGGCGCGCGCCGCGCAGCCCTCGCGCAGCAGCGCCAGCACGTCCTCGCGCCCGGCCACGGGCCGCCAGCCCAGGCCCGGCACCCGCGCCCGGCAGTCGGCCACCTGGCCCGGCCCCAGGCCCGACACCTCCAGCGCGGCGCCGGCGGCCCCGTCAGGCCCCGCCAGCAGGTCTCGCACCACGTCGCCGTACACCTCCAGCATGCCCACCTCCAGCGCACGGCGCTCGGCGCCCTCGGCCGAGGCCAGCGCGCACAGCGCGTCGGCGGCGCGCGCCGCCAGCCCCGGGTCATGCGCCGGGCCGGTGACGGTGTGCGTCTTGCCAGAACCCGTCTGGCCGTAGGCGAAGATGCAGACGTTGTGCCCGTCTGCCACCGACCGCACCAGCGGCGCCACCTCCTCGAACAGCTCAGCCTGGCTCACGCCTGCGTCTGCCACTGTGCCAAACTCAAACTCCTGCGTGCGGCGGTCGCCGCAGCGGACGCGCAGGGTGCCTGGGAAGGGGACCTCGAGAGCGCAGGGGGCGCCGGGCCCGCCCGCCAGCGGCCGCAATCTATGGGATGTTTCGAGGGGATGGGGGGGTTGGGGGGGTTGGTTCCTGAGAGATCAGGAAGTGAGGGGTTCATGGGCACAAGATGGCGCGTCGTGAAAGTGGTCCAAGGCCCGAGAGAGCCCTGCCCTATCCCTCGCCTGGCCAGCGTGGTCTGCGTCGCCGGGCATCTCATCGCGGCGGGCGGCAGTCCAGGCCCCGGGGCGCGTCAGGCCGTTTGGCAGCCATGCAATTTCCCCTCCTGGCACACCGAAACCTGCTGTCCCATCCTTCCCCCCCTCCTCCCCTCTTGCCTGCACAGAACACGGATGTTGCCGCGCAGGCTCTGCAGCTCCTCGTGCACCTTGCGCCGCTCGGCCCGCTCCTGCAGAATTGGGATGCCGGCCTTGAATGTTTGTGGTCGTGCCGGCGGCGGGCGACCCGGGCACCTCCATGCGAAGTGATCCTAGGCAGCGCCCCTCCTGAGCCCTGGTCTGACATGCCTGGGCACCCCCAAGCCCCCCAGGCCCCCTCCCCGTCCCAATCAATCCAGCAAACCTGCAGGAAGCGGGCGTGGAAGTCGTCGGCGGCCGCCAAGGCCCGCTCCAGCCGCACCCTGGTCTCGTTCAGCTCCTGGGCCAGGGCCGCGCGGCCGCTCCGCAGCAAGTCCACCTCCGCAGCCGCGGCGCGCAGGGCCTCCTGCGCCGCCGCGGCCTCGGCTGACAGGGCCGCCGCCCGCCGCTCGGCGCCGGCCTCGGCCGCTCGCAGGGCGGCCTCCAGCGCCTCCGCGCGGCCCGCCAGCTCGCCGGCCTCCCGATCGCAATTCTGCGTCGCGGCGGCCACCGCGGCGGCCAGCTCCTCCCCGGCCCGCGCCTCTGCCCGCCCCAGGGCCGTCGCCGCCTCTTCATGCGCCGCTCGCCTGGCATCCATCAGCGCGGCCTCCATGCTGGACCCAGCCAGCATCCTGTGGCGGGGTACTGGGCTTGTGATGCATAGTCTGTACACCAGCAAGCTCAAGCACTGGCCACGGAAAGAGTAGGATCAGGCACATACGGAATCTTCTCATTTGCATGCTTCACCATCACGCACACACATGCCAGTCCAGGTAGTATGACGAACCTCTCAGCCGCCGCGTTCTGGCGCTCGGCGTCCAGCTGGCGGGTCAGGTGCATGATGTGGACGGCGTCCTTCTGCACCTGCGTCCGGGCTGCATCCAGGCGGGCCTGCAGATCGGCACACGCTTCCTCCGCCTCCCGGATGCGGGCGGCGTCCTGGTTTGCCTGGGCCACCTCCTCCTCCCCGAGACTGCATGGTAGGTGGTACTCACATGATGCAGTATACTCTTCAAATCCTAAAATATATCACAGGATGCCACCTTTCGTCCTCAGGCCTCAGTTTGTGCTCAGCCCCGCCCCTTGCTCACATGTATGCCAGTCCGGAGTCGAGCCCGGCCTGAGCACGCTTCATCAGGTGGCCCAAGCGCGATGTGGCATCTGTATCGGAGCTTGATGCCCTGGAATCAAGCTCATTGGAGTATATCTGATGCTCGAGCTGCCGAATGCGGTCGACAAGCCGGAGGACCAGGGCATGGCCCGGGCCCTTGGCCTCGTCGGGGCCGATGGTCCCGGAGGCCATGGCAGAGGTGCACGCTGTGCAATCCTGCTGCTGCAACGCTCTGTTATACAAATATCAACATAAGACGAGACGCCGGCACCGGAATTGTTCTGGCATCGATCCTCGGAAGGCGCCATACTCTGTCGGACAGATGTGTTTCGTATTTGGGCGGGTCGGGGAATGAGGGAGAACACCATGGTCTGTATTTATGGAAGCTGGAGCATCGGTCTTCGCCTGCTCCCTGATCCCATGCACTGCCGAATGTATACTTCGAGCGAGCGATAGGCGTTGAAATACCAGGGTGGGTCCTGGGCACCGAGGAGCCTTTCTGTCATGCGACATTGCTGGGGGGCGCCCCTGTGTGTACAGCTCACACATTGGGAAGCACAAGCGCCCATACTGAAACGTATCGTACATCGTCCTTTTTGTAAGTAATACATACACAACCATGTCTGTGCATACAAACAATGTGACTTGCAGAAGAACAGGAAGATATAAGGATGACAGCAAGCAGCATAATGCAAGCTCCCCAATGGGTGCCAGATGTAGATGCTATACTTCGTCAGAGTACCGAATCTCGTCCACCAGATTTGCAGCATCTGCCAGCTTATGCCAAGCGTCACACTCTCCACACTGGGCGATGACCAAGCCCCGAGTCCACGCCACAGGGTTCACAGCTCGTTCCGTCCTTCCGCCTGAGAAAGCAGGTAAGAAATGCAGTGTGAGGCTCTGAACACAAGCTGGTCACCTTCAAGCAAGTGTTCAGACCTTGCTCAGAAGCTCACCACACTTGTTGCAGGTGAAGGTGACGGAGAGGGTCCTCCTGGATGGGCTGGGGTTCCGAGACTCCTCACGGGCTGCATCTCCCGGCGAGGCTGCCGCCACATCGTCGAAGGGACTCGCATCCACCGCATCGGATCTGGCCAGACTCTGCAGCACGGTGCGTGCGCGTGCACGAGGGTGTATGCTCGGGCAGGCCACTCCGGTCCTGAAGAAGTTTCTGGTGTGGCACGGCCCATGCCCGAGGAATGCCATGCTCTGGCCAGCCATGCATGGCGTGCTAACTTTGAGGGCCATTCGTCGCTGCGTCTGTGCCATGCATGGAACACACGACGACCTCAGCGTCGTCACCATGTTGGGGGATGTGTCGATGTCGAGCGGGTCTATACGTTGCACACAGGGTCCTCTCCTCAGAAGCCCAATGAAGTTTTGACTGGAAGACAACTTAACTTGATATTGTGGAAGTAGACTCTGCTTGGTCGCAGCAATGGACCTGCTGTATAGCGTGAGAAAACTCTCGCGATAGCCACGTGGCTTTTCACTTCATGCCAAGATCGACTACCCTTCGATACTCCGTATGATACAACATGATGCATCAAGAATTTGGGAGAACTGAGTCAATGCGCTTCAAGCTCAACTGATTAATATCAAGGCGTGGGATTGGATGCGGGAAGTCTCGCCCCCGTCGCACGCATCCCGCCAGCCGCCGCCGCCACCCATGCCTGTAGCTGGGCGGCCAAGGCCACTCACACAATGCGCGTGTTGTAGCCCTTGCAGGACGCGCAGCGGTGGTAGACGAAGTGGAAGGCAACCTCGCTGCGCGCGCCGCAGTCGTTGCACAGGATGGACTGGCGCCGGCCCGCGTACTCGGCCGGCAGCTGCTCCGCCTCCAGCAGGCGGTCGATCATGCGCCAGTACATCTCCAGGTTGCCCAGGCTCTTGAAGCAGAGGGGGCAGGTGTAGGCGTAGCGTGTGTAGGCCGCGAAGCAGTGGGAGTGCATGAAGTGTCCGCGAGGGCAGCTCCTGGA